ACTGAACTTTAGCTTTCACTAACTCCACATTAGCCAAAGAGAAATAGGCTGTATAAGAGCACTACAGAGTTTGGGCTGGTTTAGTCTTTCAGACGGGGTTTCAGTAAATAGTCCAGGCTGGTTTTAAATTCACTGTGTAGCCTCAGCTGGTCTTGAACTTGTGGAGATCCTCCTGCCTCAGCCTCCTGAATGCTGGCATTATAGATAAGCCCCAAGGCCTGCCAAGAGCAATAGTGTTTTCATGAATGTTTGTTATACAAACGTCAACTAATGACTTGGTGTAAGAATGGATGAATAGAATTGCTTTTGGAAATAGTCTAGCTGCTCCTCAACAAGCTGGGCACCACAGCGCACACCTGTCAGCTCAGCACTCTGGAAGATAAGGCAGGAAGATCAGAATTAGAGACCAGCTTGGACTACATAGTCCAGCACTTGGAAGGCTGAGGCAGGAGGGTCGCCACAAATTCAGTGCTAGCTGGGGCTACTGAGGCCAGCCTAGACTACATAACGAGATTCTGTGTCCTAAGGTTGGAGTATCACAAGTCAAAGCGGTCTGGATAATTTAGCAACTTAACAAGACCCTGTGGCAAAATAAAATGGCATGATGACAAAGTTCAGTACAAAGACCCTAGGATCAATCCCAGTACCAGAAAGAAAGAAAACAAGGGCGGACACATGGTACAAGAGGAATGAGTCAGGAAAACACGCTGGTAGACAGAGCAGAATGAGTCCATTCTGAGAAAGATCCTACACAGGCCAAACCAAAGCGGAGTAGTGGCTGCCCACGCCGGGGAGGAGACGGAGCTGCTGGTGTTTATGGGCTTGTTGTGGGATGATAAGAATGTTCTAGAATTCCTGGCAATGGTTACGCAACCTTGCAGATGTCCTCAATACCAGGGAATTGCACAAAGGGTACAACTTTATTTACCGATTTTTGCAGCAGTGGTGATGAAAGCCGGGGTCGCACCCGGGCCAGACAGGCACTGCACTGCTGAGCCGCATTTCCAGCCCTAAAAGGATGCACTTTAAGGAATATGAATGGTTGGAAAAAAAAATGAATGAAGCCAGGTGTGGTGCACGCCTGTAACCCCAGCTCTCGGGAGGCTAAGGCAGGAGGGTTGCCACAAGTTTGAGACTACCCTGGGCTGCAAAGTGCTTTCAAAGCCAGCCTGAACTACATGGTGAGACCCTAACTCAAAAATAAGTAGGTAAATAAAACAAAGGGCTGGAGAGATAACTCAGCAGCATAAATGCCTGTCTGGCAAGCGCAAGGTCCTGAGTTTGATCCTCAGTGTAAAAATATAAAAAAAAAAAAAAAAAAAAAGAGGAAGAGGAAGGGCCAACTAGATATAGCTCAGCAGACTAAAGCATCTGCTTTGGCAGCGCCCAGTGGCTGGGGTTCGATCCCTGGTGAGCCATGCTTTCCCCACCCCCAGGGCGCACTGAGACAGCAATTGAGACTGGGCGTGGTGATGCGCACCTGTAATCCCAGCTCTTGGGAGGCTGTAAACAGGCAGATCTATATAGTG